TGGCTCAGTCCGACCTAACTCAGCCCACCTAGGCCTAATTCATATCGGGCCTCGCAGGCTCCCGCCAAAATTCAGGTCGAGCCGGCTCACGGGCCAAAAAATTAAGTTGAGACTCAAGGGTATTCGGGCCTTGTGTGGGATAGTGGATCGGGCTAGTGGACCAGGCCTCGGGTTTGGACGGACCTGATCATTTTTTTTTTGGTTTTTTTAATTTTTTCTATCAAAAAATTATTATTTTTCACTAAAAAGAACACTGGACCTCAAGTAGGCCGGACCTTGAGTAGACCTTTGTGGAGAAGTGGTTTGGAAATACTCTTCAGATCCTGGGGGACGCTCGCAATCCTCTGCTAGCCACCTGAAAAAGAATTAACACTCCGGTCGGGGGTGTCGGAATTAGCACTCTGACGGGCAAGTCAGTCTCTACTCTCTGAATTACTTGTATTTTAAGTTAAGTGTAATGGTTCTCACGTACCTCTTCTTGGCTAATGTTCTTCTATTTATATCTTTTCGTTCTTGGGCCTCGGGATCGGGTCCACTTTCAATTCGCTATTTGGCTTCAATTATAACAAACTGCTTTTCACTCGGCCCTTACTTGACCGGCTATTTGGCCGAATAGGATAGGATTCGAGCGTATGAGATGGCGTCGAGTGCTATATATTTCGACCCTGAGTTCAATTATTCGGCATCTCTACGATTCCCAATATTCGACCCTCATAATTCCCCCCCAAGCATTCCACTAACGACAGTTGGCTGGAGTGTTTGGTTTCGAACTCGAAAAGTCAAAGCCGAAATTCGGCGGCTGACCTTATTCCAACGCAAATGTTTGAGCACACGCTTCTCAGTTATCATTTCAATTTCCCGCCCCTTCGTACACTTCTATTTATTGTGATTTAAAATTTGGACGTCTTTTCAAATACATACACGCTTTTAGACGCTCGTCTTGCAACTTCCTTTTCTTCACTATTCTCTTCGTCTCTTGTAAGTTCTCTCCTTCTATGCCCTGAATCTTTTTTTCTTGCTTTGTTTTTGGCTTAGCACATTCCTACAGACTGAAAGAAATGGAAAAACATTTAAAAGATCTTCTTTCCTTGGATTGAATTTTTGGCTTCCGACGCCATTTCTCCATTCCTGAGTGACAGACGACACCCTCAATATGGAGAGGGCTGATGAAACCACGATTGTCTTCCGTCTCCTATCAATCGCAGAGGATGGACTCTGTTTTCCCCTTCACCCGTTCCTTAGGGCTGTGCTCTGCCATTGGGGTTTAATCCCTTCCCAACCCAATGTCAACTTTTTTAGAATCGTAATGGGGATTATCGCACTAAATCGATGCCTTAGGATTAACCTCAGCATTCCTGTTATTCGGCATTGTTATGCCTTGGCCAAGTCTTCTGGTCGACATGGATGTTATTTTCTTAGGGCCAAGGACACCGACCATCAACTAGTGACTATGCTTTCCAGCTCTGGGAAGCGAGTCAATGATATTATGGTCGTTGTCCAGGGTAATTGGGAATTCGACGAAGGCGAGGATCGCCTCAATCCTATTCCTAGACGCAAGGGCGAACCAGGTGGCCGTGTGGCTTCTTTGATTTGTTTTTTGTCATGTTTTTAAAGCTTCATCTTCGAGACCTCATGGTTTTGCTTGTGCAGGAAACGAATTGAAGAAAGTCCTGACTTCAAACGACGACACCGTTCTTTTAGAAATCAAGGTTGCGCTCAGATATTTCGACCGGCCGAGTCTTCAAAAACAGGGGAGGGCGGCCCACATTCTTCTCCTCTACGAGCCGAATTATACGACCTTCTTGGCGGCAGAAAACGTCCCAATTCTGAAGGATGAGGAGTTTCTTACTGCCCTTATCTTGATTGATTTTAAAAATTTGAGGCAATTCAGTTTCGGGGGGTCCGATTCAGAACGACCGGAAGTAGCTGAGGTTGCCGAGTCAGATCAGTCCGAAACTGAAGTCGACGAGGCTCTGAAGTTAGCCTTTGAGGAAGCCGACCTCAACTCAGCCGACCCTCCGTCCATTTCGGGCCGAGAGGACCTTCCACTTGACGACATTTTTCACGGTCTAGAGGATCTTCCCGGCGCGTACCCCGAAGATATGGCTGGGTTAAGCCTCACGCAACTTGCTAAGAAGGCGAACGCAGAAAGGATGGCCGGGCGGCGAAGAATAGAGGCCATTCGAGCTGGAGTGCCTCCTGTCGTCGAATCTCAACCCTCCTTGCCTATTGGCAAGTCTTAGACCTCCTTGCTTGTTATTGAGGACGGAACGGCAGAAAACTGAAGTGCCGAGGCCGAGTTGGTTGTGCAGGCCGATCTAAAGGCTGAACAAAGAGTAGAGAAGCGCCTTGCCGAGGTTGAGGCCGGCTCAGAAGAAAACCGCGCCGACAAACGACCTCGTGTAGAGGAATCAGATGTGATTGAGCATTTTGTCATTCAACCGAAGATAAAAAAAACACGCCGATCCCCTCTGATGCTTCGATAATTAAAGATCCAGTGGTCGCTCTCAGCATGGCTACGTTCGTTTCACTGCCGGCTGACAAGGTGGCTTTCTGAAAGAAGCCGGATCTGGTTGCAATAGCATTGGCCGCGCAATCGGCACTTTTGTTATATATCTTGACTTTGTCTTTTCACTTTATGCAAACACTATTTTGGTCTTAACTTCCTGTTTTGCAGACCGTCGGAAGGATAGCCGAGATGGACCATCGCCATCATGACGCCGTCGAACAGCTTGGCCGTCTTCAAATGGAAGTTGAGGGCCAAAGGAGCAGGGCCGAGTTTGACGCTTTAAAGGTGAAGATGGAAGGCGCGCGGGCCGAGACTGAGATGGAGAGGGCACGAAACACGAATAAACTGAGATTGGCCGCCGAGAGAAGGGCAGACGCGAGCAAAGACGCGCTCAAATTGGCCCAGGAGGTGGTTTCCAAACTGGAGGCTGAGTTGGAGGAAGTAAAGAAGGCGAAGAAAGCAGCTGACTTGGAGGCTTCTAAGGCATTCGAGGCCGGAAAAAGTGCTGCTTTCGCCGAATATGTGGACGAACTCCCCAAATTTGAAAATTGGAGATTCAAACACGGCTAGCTCAAAGCCCTTGTTACTGCTTATGTGACATTGGCTATGCCGATTCCATACGAGCAAGTGGATGTTGAGCCGTTGGAGTCTGACTCCAAGGATTAATTTGGGCGACACCTATTTTTGTTTTAGGAGTTTTCGAATGTATTTTTACAACTTTTTATTTGGTGATTTTCATATGTAAAATGGCTACAATTTGTGCCCAATTTCCTAATGAAAATTTCCTTTTTTGCCTTGATATTATCTGTGCTAAATTTTGTCATTGATGAATGATATTGTTTTCAATTGTCAAATGGCTATATTTTGTTTTTAATACCAAGTATCGATCGGCATTGGGTTTAAATACTTAGCCGATCAGATTCATAAATTTGCCCTTGCCCCAGCTAGTGCATGAGCTTTATAAGCCGATTAGGACATTTTCATGGAGTGGATGAGGCATAAAACAATCGGCATTGGGTTTAGATACTTGGACGATCAGATTGCATGAGCTTCATAAAGCCGATTAGGACTAGTTCATGGAGTGGCTGAGGCATAAATCGATCAGCATTGGGTTTAGATACTTGGTCATCAGATTAATAAATCTGCCCTTGCTCCAGCCAGTGCATGAGCTTCATAAACCGATTAGGACTAGTTCATGGAATGGCTGAGGCATAAAACGATTGGCATTGGGTTTAGATACTTGGCCGATCAGATTGCATGAGCTTCATAAAGCCGATTAGGACTAGTTCATGGAGTGGCTGAGGCATAAATCGATCGGCATTGGGTTTAGATACTTGGCCGATCAGATTAATAAATCTGTCTTTGTCCCAGCCAGTGCATGAGCTTCATAAGCCAATTAGGACTAGTTCATGGAATGGTTGAGGTATAAATCGATCGGCATTGAGTTTAGATACTTGGCCAATCAGATTAATAAATCTGCCTTTGCCCCAGCCAGTGCATGAGCTTCGTAAGCTGATTAGGACTGGTTCATGGAATGACTGAGGCATAAATCGATCAGCATTGGGTTTAGATACTTGACCGATCAGATTAATAAATCTGTCCTTACCCCAGCCAGTGCATGAGCTTCATAAGCCAATTAGGGCTAGTTCATGGAATGGCTGAGGTATAAATCGATTGGCATTGGGTTTAGATACTTGGCCGATCAGATTAATAAATCTGCCCTTGCCCCAGCCAGTGCATGAGTTTCGTAAGCCGATTAGGACTAGTTCATGGAATGGCTAAGGCATAAATCGAACGGCATTGAGTTTAGATACTTGGCCGATCAGATTAATAAATATGCCCTTGCCCCAGCCAGTGCATGAGCCTCATAAGCTGATTAGGACTAGTTCATGGAATGATCCGATTCGCATCCGGCTTTTGGCGTTTGGCATTAAAGATGTCGCCTTGGGGGCGCTGCATACACTAAGAATAAATGGGGTGAGCTCGCACTAGTGATTCCATTTGTTCTTATTCATACTCGATTTAAACTAGCTTGGGGTAAGTGCGAATGTCAAACAGACTGTTCTTCAACAGCAGAGGAGAAGAACGAACATTAGCAGAGCTAGACACTGCAATGAATCGCAGCGGCAAGCTTACACGCATGGGAGGAAAGATGTCCAAGGAACGGAAAAAACGCCAGCCCTCTAATCGTTGAAGCAGATCTCCCCGAAAAGAAAAACAGCAACGGGGAAGCTCCCCGTGACCGCGACCGAGACCGAGGAACGAGCTAGATGCAGCGTCACGACTATTGAGTTTTGCGATTTTCGTGGGAAATAAACCGATGACGGAGGCGGATTCCATCGTTAAGGATCCGGGCGTGGCGGTCGAGTTTGCTCGACAGATCTTTCCACCGAAAGTCCAGCAATCGATGGTTGGACGACAAGATTTTGAAGTATTTCGAGAAGGTGTCCATGGGGCGGTGAAGGGGCTATACACCGCTTATGAAGTCGGCATGCGCTTGCGCGCCGCGCGACGAGAAATAGAGAAGAATGACGAAAGAATTCGCAGTTTGGAGGCTCGCGCGGAGAAGGCCGAGCGTGAGCTTAAGGAGCTCAGGAAAGCTCAAACCTTAGAGCCGCGTGCGGTGGGTCAATCTAACCCGATCGTGGAGGAGATGGTGACTCAACGGCTGTTGAGTCACGCCATCGCCAACGGAGATACGGCAAGCATGTTCACCGTAGTGAATGCGAGGACCATGGGTTATGAACAAGGCTTCCATGCGGGCTGGAAGGTTAGGATCGACAAAACCAAAGAGAAACTTATGGAGGAGGTTTGTCGATGCGAGAACCGGGGATTTAGACATGGTTAGATCGAGGCACTTCAGGCCGCGGAGACTCTCCGAGCAAAGGGTGTTGATTCGGTGTTGCCACTGTACCAGCGTGATCATTTTTCCTTTTCCACTTTTAAAGTCGAAAAGAGTGACGATGAGGGAGACGTCGGATAAAAACACTGATTGTGATGCTGAAAACACAAATTGCGTTAAAAACTATGTAATCATTGGTTGACTGAATAAAATGTTTTGTTTTCAATGTTTGTGTTTCTTTATAATTTTTGTTCGGCACACATATGTTTGTATGTTTTGTGCTTTATTGTATAAATGTTTCAATAAATGTGTTTTAGATGATTGGATAGACATTGACCATCTGGAGTTCATTTCAAATGTACATATGCCCTGATGTGCAAACGGTTTTTGTCAGCTCGTCATAACAGCGTTCTTTAATAAATATTTATTCAGCATGTGTTACACACGGCCCTGGCCCTAAATCCGGAAGCTTTGTCGGCCCAAAGGCATGATGCGCCAATGAGGCTCCGAATCCGGAGGCTTTTTCGGCCCAAAGGCATCATGCGCCGATGAGGCGCCGAATCCAGAGCTTGGCTGATCGTGATACCCATGAAGGGTGCTTCGAATCAAGAGGCTTTATCGGCCCAGAGACATACCGATAGGGCTCCGAATCCGGAGACTATTTGGCCAATCGTGATATCCACGAAAGACACTCCGAATCCGGAGGCTTTATCGGCCCAAAGACGTCACGCGCTGATGGGGCTCCGAATCCGGAGACTTTATTTGCGTGATATCCACAAAGGGCGCTCCGAATCCGGAGGCTTTATCGGCCCAAAGAGGTCATGCGCCGATGGGGCTCCTAATCCGAAGACTTTATTTGGCCATTCATCAGATCCACGAAGAGCGCCCCGAATCCGGAGGCTTTATCTGCCCAAAGACGTCATGCGCCGATGGGGCTCCGAATCCAGAGACTATTTGGCCAATCGTGATATCCACGAAGGGTGCTCCGAATCCAGAGGCTTTATCGGCCCAAAGACGTCATGTGTCGATGGGGCTCCGAATCCGGAGACTTTATTTGGCCATTCGTGATATCCACGAAGGGCGCTCCGAATCCGGAGGCTTTATCAGCCCAATGACGTCATGCACCGATGGGGCTTCGAATCCGGAGACTGGCCAATCGTGATATCCACGAAGGATGCTCCGAATCCAGAGGCTTTATCGACCTAAAGACGTCATGCGCCGATGGGCTCCGAATCCAGAGACTTTATATGGCCATTCGTGATATCAACGAAGGGCGCTCTGAATCCGGAGGCTTTTTCGGCCCAAAAACATCATGCGCCGATGGGGCTCCGACTCCGGAGACTATGTGATATACATGAAGGGCGCTCCGAATCCGGAGGCTTTATCGGTCCAAAGACGTCATGCGCCGATGGGGCTCCAAATCTGGAGACTATTTGGCCAATCGTGATATCCACGGAGGGCACTTCGAATCTGGAGGCTTTATTGGCCAAAAAGACGTCATGCGCCGATGGGACTCCGAATCCGGAGACTAGCCAATCGTGATATCCACGAAGGGCGCTCTGAATCTGGAGGCTTTATCGGCCCAAAGATGTCATGCGCCGATGGGGCTCCGAATTCGAAGACTTTATTTGGCCATTCGTGATATCTACAAAGGGTGCTCCGAATACGGAGGCTTTATCGGCCCAAAGACGTCATGCGCCAATAGGGCTCCCAAACCGAAGACTTTGGCCAATCGTGATATCCATGAAAGGCGCTCTGAATCCGGAGGCTTTATCGGCCCAAAGACGTCATACACCAATGGGGCACCGAATCCAGAGACTATTTGTCTAATCGTGATATCCACGAAGGGCGCTCCGAATTCGGAGGCTTTATCTGCCCAAAGACGTCATGCGCCGATGGGGCTCCGAATCCGGAGACTATTTGGCCAATCGTGATATCCACGAAAGGCGCTCCAAATTCGGAGGTTTTCTCGGCCCAAAGACGTCATGCGCCAATGGGGCTCCGAATCCGGAGACTTTGGCCAATCGTGATATTGACGAATGGCGCTCCGAATCTGGAGGCTTTATCGGCCCAAAGACGTCATGCGTCGATGGGGCTCCAAATCCGGAGACTTTATTTGCGTGATATCTACGAAGGGCCCTCCGAATTTGGAGACTTTATCGGCACAAAGACGTCATGCGCCGATGGGGCTCCGAATCCAGAGACTTTATTTGGCCATTCGTGATATCCACGAAGGGCACTCCGAATCTGGAGGCTTTATCGGCCCAAAGACGTCATGCGCCGATGGGGTTCCGAATCCGAAGACTATTTGGCCAAACGTGATATCCACGAAGGGTGCTCCAAATCCGGGGCTTTATCGGCCCAAAGACGTCATGCGTCGATGGGGCTCCGAATCTGGAGACTTTATTTGGCCATTCGTGATATCCACAAAGGGCGCTCCGAATCCGGAGGCTTTATCGGCCCAAAAACGTCATGCGCTCATGGGGCTCCGAATCCGGAGACTTTATTTGGCAATTCGTGATATCCACGAACGGCGCTCCGAATCCGGAGGCTTTATCGGCCCAAAGACGTCATCCGTCGATGGGGCTCCGAATCTGGAGACTATTTGGCCAATCACAATATCCACGAAAGGCGCTCCGAATTCAGAGTCTTTATCGGCCCAAAGACGTCATGCACCGATGGGGCTCCTAATCCAGAGACTATTTGGCCAATCGTGATATCCACGAAGAGCGCTTCGAATACAGAGGCTTTATCGACCAAAAAACGTCATGCGCCCATGGGGCTCCGAATCTATAGATTGGCCAATCGTGATATCCACGAAGGGCGCTTCGAATCCGGTGGCTTTATCGGCCCAAAGGCGTCATGCGTCGATGGGGCTCCGAATCCAGAGACTTTATTTGGCCATTCGTGATATCTACGAAGGGCGCTCCAAATCCGGAGGCTTTATCAGCCCAAAGACGTCATGTGCCAATGGGGCTCCGAATCTGGGGACATTGGCCAATCGTGATATCCACGAAAGGCACTTCGAATCCGGAGGCTTTATCCGCCTAAAGATGTCATGTGCCGATGGGGATCTAAATTCGGAGATTATTTGGCCAATCGAGATATCCACCAAGGGCGCTCTGAATCCGAAGGCTTTATTGGCCCAAAGACATCATGCGCCGATGGGGCTCCGAATCCGGAGACTTTGGCCAATCGTGATATCCACGAAAGGCGCTCCGAATCCAGAGGCTTTATTTGCCCAAAGACGTCATGCGTCGATGGGGCTCCGAATTCGGAGACTTTATTTGCGTTATATCCACGAAGGGTGCTCCGAATCCGGTGGCTTTATCGGCCCAAAGACGTCTTGCGCCGATGGGGCTCCGAATCCGAAGACTTTATTTGGCCATCATGAGAACCACGAAGAGCGCTCCGAATCCAGAGGCTTTATCGGCCCAAAGACGTCATGCGCCAATGGGGCTCCGAATCCGGAGACTTTATTTGGCCATTCGTGACATCCACGAAGGGCGCTCTGAATCCAGAGGCTTTATCGGCCCAAAGACGTCATGCGCCGATGGGGCTTCAAATCCGGAGACTTTATTTGGCCATTCGTGATATCCATGAAGGTGTAGACACCCCATTTTGACCGACTTTAAGACTCAGACATCACCAGTTGAGCGCTCGGTGATGTTGCATTTTGTGCTCGTTCTGAGGTTTCAGAGTCTCGGCTGAGAGCCTTGCCTCCGAACTTCGGGGCTCTTTTTGTGCCTTGCCTCGGTTTACGAACCGAGTCCTGTTTTCTCCGTTTTCTCTTCCTGAAGGGAGGGAGAGGTCTCGTAGACCATCTCTCAGTGGCCGTAGGCTACGTTTCATGGTCGTAGGCCATTTTTCCCGTTTGGAGCCCGGTTTCTAGTTTTCGGAGCCGTCGGTAGTGTGCCACGGTTCGAGACCTCTTAGCTACCTCCGATTGCTCTGGTTTTTGGCACACACCTTATTTTCTCCCTTCAGAGGGACACTGTGGCCTTGGAGACCACCTTCGTGGTCATACGCCACTTCCGGTGCCTAACAGCCTGTTTTCGAGGCCCCAAACCGCACGTTTTGGCCCCCGAACCTTCGTTTTGCATCCGTTTTGGTCCATTTTCGGTAGAGACCCTATTTTCACTATTAGGGAGGTGATAGGATGGTGGCCGGCCACCTTTTCCCCTGAAAAGCCAGTTTTCTCATTTTCTCTCTCCAAAAGCCAATTTTTCTGACGGAAAGTTAGTTTTTCCCACTTTTGAGCCACATTTTCTGGCTTTTCATACCACCATTGTGTTGTGCTCATCTGGGAGGCCACCAATATGGGCAGGCCGGTCATACCACCATTGTGTTGTGCTCATCTGGGAGGCCACCAATATGGGCAGGCCGGCCAGAAATTCATCTTGACCCTTGCTTAAAAGCCATCTTTTCTCTCTCTTGGGTCACATTTTCTGATTTTTCTCTACAGAGCTGTGTTCTACTCATCTGGGAGGCCACCTTTCTGGGTAGGCCGACCAGCAATTTTGCTTGAACCTTTTGACCCCTGGTCGGCTGACCAGGGAGAGTGGCTGGCCGGCCACTTGAACTGGCCAGCCTGCTTATTGCTTTTCCTCTCTCTGAGTGTAATCCAGCTGTGCCAGCTGGAGACCATTTGGTGCATCCTCCATACACGTGTATGGAGGATCTTTGAAGCTTCCAAGAGAAGCTTTAGCCTATCTTCTCTATAAGAGAGGCCCTCCTCTTCATATCAAAGGGTTAGACATTTTTGGCCAAGGCACATAACCTCCCACCTCCATTGCTATTATTCCAAGCTCCAAAACCCTAACTTTCTTGGTCCATTTGCACTACAACCCTTAGCACCACATCTCCATCATCCATTCCAGAACCTTGGAAGTTATTTGCAGAGGTTGAAAGTTTACCAACTTGGTCCAAAAGTTGCTGGAGGTCGGCTCTTCAAGGGTAAGTGCCTG